TTTCAATTGAAATCGGGTTTAGAATACCCTTCTAATATATTTGCAGATCATTTCCATATTGCAATAATCCCTGACTGTATTTTAATATACAGGTTGGGTCCGAACTTTAATAAATTCTCGACTTTTGGAGTCGAGTCGAACCGAACCGAACTTCTAACATCCCTACCTATATACAATCATGCATGCGCATGGTGTTCACACGGCAAGTATGTAAACTCAGGGTTTCATTTAAACAACCGATGCTATTATACATCGGATCAAGCACCATGCGTACATGTAAATCACGTCACCATGCAAGAATCATCCAATACGACCCCAAAAGTTCGGTGACGTAAGATTAGTTAGGCAATTTATTGGTTCTCTTCTAGCTGCATATTGTAGATCATTTTCTTAGTGATTGTAATCCAATACCGAATACTGCTATAATTACGTCACCGGAGCCGCCCTGGATGATTCCACCATGCAGCCCGTCTCTATCCGTGGGTGATTTGCAATCATTTCAAAAATAATCCTCCAAGATTATGATTTCAGCGTGCATTAATATTAATAAATTTTAACCATATAGCATTCTAAGAACGTTCTAATCCATAAAGAAAACTTCTTTTGGCTGATTTTGGTCTTTCAAACTCTCTAGAATCAAAAGAAGGATATACATCTGAATTTCGTAGAGCTCAGGCCTATGTTGATCCAAAGTTGCTGAGAAGAAAGCCAAATCATCGTCATGAGAAATCTTCTGACATTTATAGTTTCGGTGTACTTATGTGGGAAATATATACTCGTCGTATTCCATTCGCAAAAAGTGATCATGATGATTTATTTTCTTTGGAACTTTTTTTTGGCCTAAGAATGAGAAATTGGAATGTCTATGGATTATATAAAAATATATGAAAAATGTTGGATTCCAGGTCCTAAATTCAGACCTAAAATTCCTGACATATTAAATAATCTTAATAATCTAAAGCCAGTGCCGGCAGAGGTAGTGACTTGAATCGGTTGAACTATAATCGGTTAACCGACCCGAACCGAATAAATTTCGGGTAACTGGTTGAGGAAATTCTTAATCGGTTGACGGGATCAATATGGTATGAAAGTTAGTCGTGCCATAAAAATGTCGCGGTCTCGTGATCCCGACCTCTTCCGACCCGAAAATTCGGATTATGCATTACATTAAAATATTAATTGTTTTTTAAATTTACATAACAGATAATAATTTAACTTTAGTATTTTAAATACAATGCGTAATTTGAATTGTTGGGTCGGAAGAGGTCGTGATCACGAGACCACGACATTTTTATGGCATGGCTAACCCACGAGAAAATGTCAAAATGGAAGGTAAAGGATCCGAAAAGCTCCGACAAAAATAAATGAACATAAAAGACGAGCAAGACCGAGACAAAAATTAGAGTAAAGCTCCAAAAGTAGTACAGATATTAATCTTAACCGGTTGGTAATCGGTTAAATGAAATAATTTGGTTCGGTTAACCGATTAAGAAAATTTTTCTCGGTTCAAATCAATTGGAAGAGGATATTTAGTCAACAGGTTTGCGATGATATGAACAGCTGATAAAAGTTATTCTCAATTGTATGAAGCAAAGAAATAATAAATTTTTTCTATTTAACCTTGATTTTAATTAGGGATGTTAACAGTCCGGTCTGGTTCAGTCTGGTCATTTTGGTCAAAGTTTAGTCTGGTCTATTATGGTTTTCAGTCTGCTAGTCTAGACCGGTCTAGTCTTAAGACTTAGAGCAGACCAATTTTTTTTAGGTCCAGAGACTAACTGTGTCTATTAGTCTAAGGCCGGACCACTTAACATCCCACCATTACTACCTTCGGTAATTCAAGAACTACCTAAAATACTTCCGGGTAATATTAATAAAATGCAAGAAGGTGCTACTGCACACATGCAACTATATCCACTCTCGACAGCAGATTTAGAAAAGTCTACTAATTTTGATTCATATTATTCAAAAGAATAAATCAGCTTAAAAGTGAGATATCTGATGATAATATACAACTCAATAAAAGAATGTGTGAAGTATTAAATCAATGCATTATTGACGTTGATAATAATGTTCAAACGCTCAATAATCGTAAAACAGATCATGATACACTTACAACATTAGAGAATTATGTTTTATTTCGAATTTTTCTTCAAAATATTGAAAATATCAAAGATTTTATTGAAAATATTTTTATTCAAGTTACTGATTCAGGAATTTCATTAAAGCAATTAAAAAATAAATATATTGTATTAATAAAAGAATTTTGTGAATCCATAACATCTCTCAAGTTTGAATATTCTTAGATAAACAAACAAATTAGTGAAATTATTGGTGAGGTTGACGATTCGTTCAAAGATATAGAGGAAACAATGAAGATATTTAATTTCATAATCCTTAGAGATGTAATCTAAAATATTATCTATTTTTCTAGTTTATTCAAGCATTTCAATGTCATTTTAAAGAAGTTAATCCCATATTTGACTTTGTTGACCAAATAAATATTAATATTAAGAATGTTAATGATAATAACAATAATGACGATTTGTTTGATCACAAATTATTAGAATTTATAAAGGAACTTAAAGATAATAATACTCAAGAAGCATACAATGGTAACATCACAATTATAAAGCATATTTCGTATGTAAAGAAGGACATATGGGTTCAGGCAGCACTTTTAAATAATTCAAATGGTTCAGTAAATATAACTAAACTTTATGGAATAATGCAAGACTCATTTAATTCAGTATACAGTATGAAGTCATAGAATAGTCTGAATATGGTGATCTAAAGATGTTCTACGAAAGATGCAAACCTTTAAATCTTCAATTGAATTACAAATTGCATTGGACATAAGTATTGGATTAGTATTTCTTAATGCAGTGAAATTTTTACATCGTAATATTAGACCTGAAAAAATATTTGATTACAAATGATATGAAGACCAAATTACAAATTTTTTTCATAGTCGATGAATCAAGAAAGCTTGATATTGATGTTACTGGAATCGAATACGTAGCACCAGAAGCATTAAGGAGAAGTCTTAACACTTACACTCAATCACAACTTACCGTATTACCGCGGAATAGCGCACATGGGCGTTATTTCGAAAATCGCATTCCCTTAAAATAGTATACTTGGCTT